CTGAAACATATTCAAGCCGTCTAGACATCAAAGCTAACATGTTAGTAGAAATAAAACTAGAAAACTAAAACAAGCTCAAACATCTTTTCTAAATTAAGATAGTGCACTCTCTGTGCTTCATGTTCCTTTGGATTCACGTAGAATTTGCTTCCATTCTCTTTTTTGTCTTTTGCTTTCTCCAGCGGTATACAGACGAGCGATGCACACCCATCTGTACTGCGACAGCGGCTACAGAGTTTAATTTTGTGGCTTCGACTTCCTATTATCATTATTCCATTTTAAAAAAAGCTTCGAATTAAATATGGGGTATGTGGTACGCGTTTACATACGTTCAGCTTGGCCTTGTTCTTGGTTTTTAGGGCGGTACTTCATTGTGTGCTTGTGTGATATGTGGTGGAAGGCGGGAACATTGCACAATGGCGCGCCACTGATTGTGAGAACGAATATCGCTCAAACGTGTTCTTTAAAAAAAACCTTACGATTTTTAATTAACTTGGTTATTACTGCTAAACCGGAGCCAACTTTCACGGTAGTATGTCAATAGTATAGTATAATGTACGAAGAATGGGAAACACACGGTAAAAAAAAGTGAAAATATCTTGATTATTGGCTTTGTGATATTTGAATTCGGAATGCATGTTACTGCATGTACATGATTGTCTGGAAAATAATAGTGATGATTTCCGGTATTTCGACTCTATGGGGGTTGATGGGGATGGCAGCGCGAAGATACTAATAGTACAAACTCAGTACAATATGCTGTCGACAAATAAGCACCAACGTTATTCCGTCGATCTAACTGTTGGTTACTGAGATAGTCACATAATGCAATAGTAAATGCCAGCATGGTATCGGCAACATATTATTACTTTATTCTCGCCAGTTCGCACTAGGGGTGTCGACCCTACATTTGTCGATGCACTGGAGCTGACTTTTGTGGTATTAATCTAGTAGTAGGACATCAATAGTATGCTATCGTCTACCCGAAGTTGGAGAGTACGAGCCAACTCCATCTTTCTTCGTTCTCGCCAATCCCCATCAGTCGAACGCGCATTTCTGTTTTTTCTATCGCCGCCGTCCCCACGCCGGGGCACCTTTCGCTGCCCTGGTGTCCAGTTTGCAGAGGTTTTCTCACACCCTTTGCATCTATGGCATAAAAATTCATCGTCTCTGAGTCGACGTTGTCTCGGCCCCGCTACTTACCCCGGTGATGTAAGAACGAGCCATCTCAATACCGATTGTGCGGGTCTCGTCCAGCCTACGCCCAGACCCGAGTTCAGCGTCTAGAGAGAAACCATTGCTGGCCCGCGGCCTGCCACGTTACTTAGCTCACCCTGCGCTGTAAGAGCGAGCGTATGACCACAGAGACAAGACGTCTATTGCGCGGATCTACCCATGCTCCTTGTGCGACCCAGTGTTAGACCAAATTCAGCGTCAATAACGACTCGATACCAGGCCGCGGGCCAACCAGATGAATAATGGGCCGCATCGCAATTGTACTAATATTCCCACTTGCACAAATTCATATTTCCTTGCTACCTTGCCTTCTTTTTTGCATCCATTCATCAAGTGAGTCGCTTTAGCGAGTCACATTAACATCACATTACCAGGTCCTCTCTAGGTTTTATAATTTAATATATCCCCGAAACGCTTTTCAATTCCCACCAAAACCCCTCCTGGTGCTAATAGCCCTTCGGATAACATGCACATGACTCCACATATTAACGGGCAACACTTGAATTTTGTATGGTCATGGATGGTGGTCGCCACATAAGTCAAACTTGC